GTGTGTGTGTGTGTGTGTGTGTGTGTGAGCTACAGCGAGAGTGGCTGCACAGCTAGAAGTGGATGTGCAACACACACACCCCATTAACACCCCGGCAAGAGGGTCACTGTAAGGCTGAGCGTTAATTAGAGACATGGCGGGAAACTTAATTAGACTCGAACAAATACTTTGAAACACGCTGCGATTCGATTGGCGCACAAATGTGGCGATTTGCGGAGGAGAGCGTCGGTCATGACCAGTGATGAGGTCATGTAATGTGCGCACAACTTTCTACTCTCTTTGCTTCACTCAGCTGCTCTGCCACATGAAGCACTGATGTAAACATGAAGAAGTGTCTCTTCAGACGATTTCTTTCTTTTCATTCTCGTCTCTGCTAATCACCTGTAACCGTTTTATTTCCAGTGACGTCACATGACGCACAAGACAGGGATTGGTCGGGGGGGGAGTATCATGTGATGTTTGATATTTAAGCTATGAGCCTGGTTCGACTTATCTGGGGCCCCCAAAGTCCCTTGAAACGCTGCTGTCAGTGAGCACAACATCAAGTTCAGAGGTCAGCAGCCAGGAAACAGATTCACTCATGTGACTTTGATTTGTTTCATGTTGTTTCATAGTTAAACTGCAGTTTTAATGTGACGTAAATCTCCTGCTTCAGTTTCACAAAGCGGTCAGCAGGAGTTTCCTCAGTCAGCACAACTCGTCACAGCGTCAGTAAATCACTCAGAATTATTGACGCCCTCGAGCTCGCCTGCTGACTCATCGGTCGTGAAAAGGAAACGTCAGAACTGAAACGTCTCTGACCCCGTGAACCTGCAGCAGCTGATCGCAGGAGCGACAGGTGAACGTGGACGGAGGAGCCTGTGGACGCAGCCTCATCTGTCCTGCTAATTGTTGTGTCAGCCATGACTGTCATCGATCTTGTACCGAAAACAAATCAGAGCGAGCTCCGCTGTGTTGTCGTCACGGTGACTGATCGATTTGCTCCCCTGGTGATTGGCTGAGAGAGCTCCTGTAGCCTCAGCACATCTCAGGGTCGATGGCTCTGAAAAATTGCTAAATTCTGAGTCACTGAGCTACGTTATGCTACATGGCCAAAAGTATGTGGATAGTCAGACGTTCATGTGTTCGTCTCTCTGCTTCTTCATAAATAAACAATTTGAAATGAGTTATTCTGCTGATTATTTTCATTATTTGTCTTGTTTTATTTAATTCATCAATTATCCTTCATTAACCTTTATTTCTATATTGAAATGATTTGTTTTATTTGAACAACAGTCCAAAAATAGCAAAGCAAATTATAACATCTGATAAACTTTAACCTGCAAATTGATCATCAAAATAGATTTGATTGATTCACTGATTCATTATCATTGTGGCCCCGGTGGGAAGGAACAGCAGAAGCAGTTGTTTGTTGAAGCCTGTTAACGACTCTAAAGCCTGTTAACGACTCTAAAGCCTGTTAACGACCCTGTTCAGGAGGTTTTTCAGAATGAAATCAAATGATCTTTTCTATAATTCTATATAATCTACAAACAGATTTAAACTGTCCTGTGCAGAGTCGTCCTCAGTCTGGAGGATATCAGGATGTCTGTCCACTAACGCTTCCTCAAACCTCACATGTGGACAGAATATCACAGGCGTCCACACACTTATGGCCGGTTTTGCTCTGAGCCTCATGCTGCATATGCTGGATGATGTTACATTGACATCTAGTGGTCGAAATAGTAAACTGCAGAGTCATAAGACCTCAAAGACTTGTGTGCCGTGAGACGTGATCGTGGGGCTTTGATCAGATCAACCTCAAAAACACCTACTTCTCCTTCGCCCTCCTCTTCTCCTCCAGGTGGCGATGAGCCTCCAGACGAGACTCGGGGGTGAACGAACACGGCGTGTGCCAGAACTCCTCCTCCTGCTGCTCCTCGTCCAGGTCGGGGCTCGTCGCCTGCGGCTTCTTGTTCTCCACCACCTCCTGGCTCTCCTCGTTCTCCTCCACCTCCTGGCTCTCCTCGTTCTCCTCCAGCCTTCGACTACACAGACAGGAAAGACTCGGTGACTTCAGGTCGACGCTCGGAGCAGAGAGATGTTTTGGATCCTTCAGGGTCATTTTGAAAAATGTGCAGTTACTTGTTTCCTCTTGAAACTGAATCACAGTTTTCAGGTTCTGTGTCTTTTCATGTTTATTAAAATTTCTCCTCAAGGAAAATCAGATCAGGTCGACTGTTTTATTCAACTTTACAAAAATCTCTGCTTCATGAATTATTCAGCTCTTTCCTGAGACTCCCCTCTTTGGCTTTTTTCGTTCTCTAACATACAAACAAGTGATTTGTTGATTCAGTCATAAGTTAATAAAAAGACGTGGCGGAGACAGAAAATGGAACATTTACATCCAGAAAACATCAGTTATTAACACGTTTGTATTTTACGGGATTTTATGGATCAAATTAATAATAGAGAAAATCATGAGAAGATTCATTAATAAAACATATTTTGTCAATGTTTTTACTTTGAATTGTTTTTTTTTTCTTTTTTACTCAAACTTATTCAGTTAAACTTGAATTTGAGTTATACAGCGACCTCATGTATTTTCCACTGTGGTACTGATACTTGATAAAGTACTGAGATCAGAGTTTTAAAATAGAGAGTAAACGTTTGTTCTCACTCTGTGTTAGTTTTCCAGCTGCCGTCAGGACCTCCTCTCCTCTCCTTGTTTCCTCTCTCTTCTCCTGCAGCTTTCCTCTGCACCTCCTCCCTCTCCTCGGCTCTCCTCCTCAGGTATTCTTTCTCCTGCTCTAGCACTCGTCTCTTCACCTCCTCTAGTCCCTGCGAGGATCGAATCCTCTCCGATCGGCTGATCTCCGTCCCGTCCAGCCACTGAGGACAGAGACAGGCAGCATCTTAAACCAGGACAGACTTCTACCTGATGGTTCAAGAATTTTATCAAGAATTTTGTTTCTTATTGTGAAACGTTTGTGGGGGAGAGTTGGGAAGTGAGCTGCATTATATGGTACCCGCTGACCATTCATCCAGGCTGATGATCCGACGCTGTAAAGTTACCTTGAGTTGGGGCAGAGAGGAAACCACGAACTGTCTGTAGCCCTCAAACAAGGTGCAGGGGTTCCCGACCAGAAACAGCTCTCTGAGGTGGATGTTGTGTCTCAGAGACTCGACGCTGCTCAAACAGCCAATGAAGTTCACCGTCAGGTCCAACTTCTGGAGGCTCTCGCAGCCTGAACACAACAACGACATCGTGCCGACTCGTTTGAAGGCAAAACTACAATTGAACCCACACTATGTTTTTAATTGGTTCAACACAAATCATTGATGAACAGAAAACAATGGAACAGATGACCACAGACTGCAAATTAAGACGGACGACTCTTCTGCGATTCCTCCCTCTATCTGCAATTGAAGCCTAAACTTTCTGGATGCGAACGCTGCCGTCTTACAGCGGTTACGTCACTCGGACTGAGAGAGAAGTGATCTGGGGATGAAGCTATGAAATAAACCAATGCACACAATCCACCAATCAGGAGTCAGTCTCACCTGTCAATCATGATCTCTCTGCCCATTTTTGTGTATCATCAAGAAAACTAAGTTAAATCAGACACATAAATATAAACATATCAGAACCATGAACACGAGCAAACATCAGTGAGACACGAACGACCTGAAATGACAGAAACATCTTTGACAAACGTTTATTTAACGTCTACTCTGATCTTTTAGTTTGGTCCATTGGCCCGTCTGCCACCAGGGGGCGACCAAGCCTTCATGTTGTCCATCTTTATCAACAGTCTACGCAGACGACTCTTTTTGATTTTGCCTCAGCATTTATCAAACATTTCAATGAAATATAATCAGTTATCTTTATCCAAACACCTTTTCTCTGTTTTTCATACTGACCTTCGAGGTTTTCAATGACTTCAATGTTGTTCAAGGCCAAATTCAAATACTCCAGTTTCTTCAGGCGACTGAGATTCTCTACACGAGCAAATTAAAAAGACATTTCAAAACAAAACATGTAAAGTGTCTGTGTATGAAACTAGTTGAAATTAAAGAAACGTCTTGGTTACAATCAGTCTGACTGCCGATTCAGTGTCGATGAAAATTAAATATTTTAACATTGAACATATCTAATCCATGTACATAATGTCCTGTTAGCTATAGACGGGGGTTATGTGGGTGACGTCTCACCCATCCTGGAGACCAGGTTGTTCTGCAGGTAGAGGATCCTCAGGTCCCTGCACCACTTGTCCAGGTGCTCGATCCTCTCGATGTCCTGCTGATGCAGAGAAACTTCCTCCAGAGAGAAGATCTCACAGTCGTTGTGCTCAGCTCTCCGCCGCACCATGTCCTCTGTGACTGGACGACAAGACACTCACATGCAGCAGCTGTACCAGAAATAACCACGCGTGCAGCAGCACCACCGACATGAGGAGGGACGGGCAGTCTGCTGCCACATGACCTCACTGCTCCAGATGTTTAACTTTATTTAAAACTCTTTGGGGTCGTCAGTGTCTTTCCTCCTCCTCAGGGGCCTTCAGGCTCAATCAGATGATCCAGCGCTGCTTTATGAAACTTTAACAAACTGAACAAGCTGAACTGTGGAACAGAATCATTTGTGTTTTCATGAAGCATCACTTCTTTTTAAACCCTGATGTCATACTGTCATTAGTTCTACTTATTGTGATTGCCATGCTCTGATCTGTGATCTGAGAAAACCATGAACTGTGTTTCTGCTGCTTCAAACTTGGAATCTGTGTTTTTAATGACGTATTGTTCATTCTGAGTATTGTTATCATCACGTCACTGTCGGCGAACTTAAGAGAAGAAGAATTAGCTAGCTAGCAAGCTAACGCGTTTCCTGGCGTCTACGTTCAAGGCTAGCACACCTAGCTAGCCGAGCTCAAGCTCGCCTCGTTCAGAGACGACTCGTCCGGTGTGAACCCTCTAAAAACTAAAGGGTGAAACAGAACAACAGTTCAACGGGGTGACATCAACAGTACGAAGAGTTCTGAACTTACTGTGAACCATCTTCTTCCGTTGTTAGCCGTTACCGTGGAGACCGACCGGGTGCTGCGTTCAGGTGATGTAGGAAACTACTGAGCGCGTCACAGCTCGGTGCCAACGACAGCATGGTACATGTTTACCACCCTGGTAATGGTGCATATCATATTATATTTCAATCACTTGTTATTAATTATATGTTTGTTATTGAGCTGGGT